TCGCGCCTGTCCGAGAAGAATATCGGACTCAAGAAAGACGGACGGCTCACGGACGTTATCCAGCAGGTCCCAGCGACGGTGGGTATGTGTGTGCAGATGAAACTCGACCAGCCCGCTCCGGCTCATTTCCCTGACCTCAGACCAGCGCAGCATGACATCATCAGCCCGCCCCTGTGCAATCAGGGTCTCGCATTCCCGGTGAGAAAACATATGACGCCCCCCGCTTTCTTCATGTTGCCGGGCGGGACCATCACCGATAAGCCCCGTGACAAGAAAGATATGAACCCGGAGACCAAATGCCTGTAACACCGGAAAGGCATAAAACCAGTTATCCAGGTAGCCGTCATCAAAGGTCAGCATGACGCTTTTGCGTGGCAGTTTCCCGCCACAATAAAAGAATTCCATTTCAGCTGCCGAAACAGTTTTCCAGCCATTTTCAGCCAGCCACTGCATCTGCTCACGGAAAGTCCAGAGTGAAAGCGCCACCAGTCCCGGATTATCACTGACATGGTGATACATTAATACAGGTAAGTAATGTGCATAAAACATTTTATGATGTCACTTAATAAAACAAGTGATTTTTAACCATCTAAATAAATGCTTAATTTATTTAAGTAATTTTAATACACATCGTCTTATCTTTTTATGCAAAAAAACATTGAAAAGTTATTTTTCAGGGATTCTGAATGCACCTCGCGTATATAGCCCCCTAAAAATAGGAGTAAAAACTTCATTTTAAAAATGAAGATATTTTAACTATATCTCCAAGAGAAGGTAATTTATCTCTTGAAACAAGAAAGGAGCCACTTACCACTGGCATGTAATACTCAAAAAAATACTCCCCTTCTTTCTGATTGTGTTTTTCTATTATTTCAATGTCGCTTCCATTTAATCTGTTTAGCCCATAAAAACCAAGCACATTCATATATATATGGTTTATAAAATGTATATATTGTTGTTTTGTTCCCGTGAATTTAAAACCAGCATAAAGACCATTTTTTAAAGTTAAAAATGAATTACTGTCCCGAGTTTTTTCCTTCCAAATCTTACTCTCTATAATGAAATTCTCACTTCGTTTTTGCCCTTGATAAACCTCATTTGAGATAATCAGAAAGGTGGGGGCATGGGAAAGTAACTTATCAATCCTATCCCACCTTTTGGTGGCGTAATTAATAGTATAAGGTATCATTCCTTTATAAACATACAAATCTGCACAAATCTTTTTCATTTCACAATTGAAGTAATAAAAATCGGGAATCTCAAACTCAGGGTTAACCGTCAGAGAACCAGTGATGTTATGAAACACCCACACTTTATTTTCCCTGTACTGTTTTGGTGTATATCCCGTATGCTTCTTAAACTCTCTTGTAAAGGTTTGTTGTGAGTCATAACACAATGTCGTAGATATAACTGACAGAGGCAGGTTGGTCAATCGTAAGAGTACAGCGCTACGGCTAACTCTGCGTAGTCTGATGTACTTACCCACAGGCATACCAACAAATCGTTTAAATAATAATTGTAGATTACGCCTACTATACCCAGAACGGGCAACAAGGCTATCTATATCTATATTATAGCTCTCTAAATTATCTTCAATATATTGAAGCATCTCTTTTATTGTGAGAAGTCTTATCATATCTCGACCTTATACACCACCGGGAAACATAAGCAAGGAAGTAATTAAGCATGTTTGTGGTTTGTGTTTATTATCTTTTTGTGCATTCAACAACTTGTTTCACACACAAATTCATGTGAAAAATGTTAAACACCATTTTATATAAAAATAAAATATTTAACCCCAATAAACAAACCACCATTTACACATGATTAATCATGTAAATAGATACCAATTTATTGAGGTTATTCCTTGATTAATTAACTTAATGTCATTCGGTTAGCCATTATTAATGACAATGCCATAAAAGTTAAGTAAATATAAAATCACCACTGATAACCAACCCCCACAGAAGCACCAAAGTCATTCTGGGTATTCCCGCCGGCCTGTAATTTCGTTATCCAGTGTCCATTTTCTGATATATGAGAAACACCTACAGCAATTGCCGATTCGCCACCATAGGTACCTGCAGATACTCCGACCAGACTTGAATCGGGTTGGTAGGCCTGTGGAATCCCTGACAGAGCCATTGATGTTGCGATACCTGCGGTCAGTTTTGTTTTCATATCCCCCATCTTTTTATCAAGAGAATCCACCTTTCTGTCAGTATACTGTTTTAAACTGGAGAAACTTTCATTAAGCTGTCCTACAGTTACAGCATCAGATCGGTTAACTCCCGGAGCAACATTGGTTATTCTTCGCTGATTCAGTGAAGAGCCAACTGACACGGTGTTATCCTCACTTGCTACAGAATTACTCCCGAGGGCCACGCTATTTTTTGATGAAACAGTACTTTTGTTCCCAATACCAATGCTGTTTTCTCCGGTTACATTCACATCAGCACCAACTGCAATGGCATTATCTTTTTCTGCTCTGGAATTACTTCCTAAAGCAATGGCATTTTTCCCGCTGGCTTTAGGCTTCATTGTTTTTTCTGAGTTTACCGCCAGCATTGATGCATCTCCTATACTGCCTGAAACTTCTTTCAACTGGCTGACAGTTACTGCATCATTATCATTGACCCCTTCTTTCACTCCTGTTATTTGCCGATTACCATCAGTACCGCTGACGGTTATTTTCTCGCCACCACTATTTTTTGCTATTGTCACCTCAGAAAGATTTGAGGCTTGTTGAACCAGACCGACTTTCCCGTCTTCAATGTCTTTTATTCCTGAACTCAACTTATTTATTTCAGTTATATTCTGGGCAACTTTTTGATTCGTTTCATATAACTGTTTACCATTTACAGCATCGGTACTGGTCGCACTGACTGCTCCATCGGCAATCCCTGTCAGCCCCCTTTCACCATCCGTCCCGCGAAAATCGACCAAAGAGCCTCCACTTCCGGAACCAACAGATATTACTTTGCTGTTCGCATTCTGTTGTACCAAACCGCTTTGTCCAGCCTGAAGAGAGTTAATCTTTGATATATTTTCAGTTAACGTATTGTCAACAGCAATAAACGCATCCCCCACGTTATATTTACTCTGTCCCTGAATGATATAAACAGGATTTCTGAACTGACTAATATTATCGAATGAAGCCCCTCCACCAAGAGCTGTAGCCACTGAACTCAGGACGGTATTTGTCTGATAAAGCTGACTGCCGGTTACAGCTTCGCTACTGTCCGCTGCAAGAGTACCATCCCGGACACCGGTCAGGGTACGGACGCCGTCCGTACCGGTCAGATCCACTGATGTTCCCCCACTGGCTGCAGCAACGCTGACCACCCGGGATGTCGGATCCTGACGTACCAGCCCCACGGAGCCGCTGCTGATATTATTCACGTCATTCTGCAGTGTGGTTATATTGCCGGTGTTCGCGGTGACCGAGGTGTCCAGTACCGCCAGGGCATCCCCCACGGTTGAGCGCCCACAGCCCTGAATCTGATAAGCCGGAGCTTTGAAAGAGCCATCAGGCGTAATGGTAGCACCTCCGCCCAAAAAAACAGCAATATCACTAATGTTATTACTGACTTGACTAATGCTATTACCGATTTGTGTTAATGCACTGTTCGTTGCAAAAAGCTGACTGCCGTTAACAGCGTCAGTACTGGTTTCGGATATTCGTCCGGCTGCAACATTTTGCAGCTGACGTTCTTTCCCTGTATCACCAATACTCAGGGCAGCTACTGGGCTGGTACCTGCGTAGGTATATTCCTTATTATTTATGATACCGGATGTTGTTGCAGTCACAGCGGCTGTTTTTGCCTCACTCCCTAAAGCCACATCGCCATCATTTGATGAAGATGCTCCCATTCCAATGGCCACACTATTATCGCCCCCGGCATTTGAAACAGACCCCAGAGAAATACTGGAATCACCCGCAGCTTCAGCACCGACCCCAATGGCCAGAC